TTATGATTGCAGCCGGGCGTTGGTGGTGCATGCCTTTAATCCCAGCATTCAGGGAGCAGAGACAGGTGGATCTCTGTGGAGCTCTGGTCTATAAGAGCTTAAAAGGACAGCCTCCAAAGCAATAGAGAAACCCTGTCCCCAAAAACCAAAACAAATAAACAAACAAACTTATGATTGCTTATATATCACATTCTCACCATATAGTAAATATATCACACTATAATATATATTATATAATTATAATATATATATATATACATATATATATATATATATATATATATCTTGTAAACCATTTTCTTGGTGAGTTCTCAGTAGGTAAAAGGGTAGGCCCTAGAGCTTCAGACTCCAATGGCCATATGTGTGTTGACTTTGCTTACTCTAGCTCATGATACCGCAGAGGTTCTGTGTTCTCACTGTAGAGTTGTGAGTTGAACTCTCTGGCTGTCACAATGTGATACTGAAGGAAGTGTGAAAGGGGGATGGGTTATGAATATGTTTCCATGGAAGGAATGACCCCTCAATGTCACCAGTTTGGAATATGTCTTTTCTTCTTCCCTCTGCACTTCTGTGCTCAGCTTCTGCTCTCTCCATTCCCAACTTCATCCCACCCTCTGCCTCTCTCTGGCCTTTCCCAGTTCATAAGACCAGAATCCAAGCCTGCAGTTAGCCACAACCATCTTCCCATCTCCCTTCTAGATGGGCCATTTGGAAGTAAGAAGACAGTGTCTCTATCCTCTGGTTGTTTCAATGTTACTAATATATAAGAAGTGTTTGGTGTGGCCTATGACATAGAGCTTCTTACACTTCTGTGGTAGCTTTTTAAGATTTAAATTAGCTTCGACAATGTGCTTCTGAGCTGCTCACGTTTGCTCTTTCTTCCTAACTCAGAATGATTCTTCTCACTGAAGATCAGTTACCTCTGGCATCAAGTTCTAAGTCCAGCAAGCCAAACACCCATTCTCTAAAGAATAGATACCACAGGGTTTAATGAGGAAAGGATGCCACAGGCAAAGCAAGGCTCTGAAGCCTGCTCCAAGGACAGATAAGAACTTTACTTTCTACCAAGATGAAGATCTTGGAGAATTCACGAGAAACGGTCAGATCTAGGATAGAATACACATGACAAGTGGGCCCAGAAGTTCTCTACAAAAGACAATTCTCTGCACTAAAGCATAGACTATACCTCGTTGCTTATTTTAACAAGTGGGAAGAGTGGATAGATGCTGTTGGTCCCCAGTTTCTTATAGAAAGGCCTTCAAAACTCACACAAATTGCCAGATAGTTCTTTGATATGCATTACTAATGTGGACGCAATATTTTCTCTTAAAGTTATCTTTTATTCTGTGTCATTGGCTTAGCATTGAATTGATGAGCAAAGACAATTGCTCATAACCTTGTAAACACCCTCACATGGAAACAGTAGGCAGCAGACTTGGCTGGGAGGGTGAATAGACATTGAGAAAACCAAGTAGTTCAATAGCTGTGCAATCTCTACCCATGAGATCAGCATAATTTTAGATAGTGCTGTGAATCGGAGTAAGTTAAGGGAGGTGAAAACCCAATCAAAACAGGAGCCATGTTTACCCTAGGGGTAGAGGAAGGAAGCATCAGTGAAGACAACAGGAGGTAAATGATACACTCTGATGGGTGAGTGGTATGGCATGGGAAGAGGCTTAAAAGGGACAGCAGTTAGAGACCCTGATGTGGAGGCAGAGTCAGCAGAGGAGCCAGCTGAAGGCATGTCTGCTGTGCCTCTGTGGACCTTTCGTGACCTCTTCCGGTGGCCAGATGTAAACAAGATGAGAATGAAAGCCCTAAGATGGATAGTGTTCGTTACGGGAGCGGGATCAACAATGTCATTCGATTTCTGGAAACGAGTAAAATGTGTTTGTTCTAGACAAAAGTGCTGCCTGGAACCCGTTTCTTCTCTCCCTGTGGGCGTGTTCTCTCCCTGTGGGCGTGTTCTCTCCCTGTGGGCGTGTTCTCTCCCTGTGGGCGTGTTCTCTCATTGTGGGCGTGTCCTCTCACTGTGGACGTGTTCTCTCATTGTGGGTGTGTTCTCTCACTGTGGGCGTGTTCTCTCATTGTGGGCGTGTCCTCTCACTGTGGACGTGTTCTCTCATTGTGGGTGTGTTCTCTCACTGTGGGCGTGTTCTCTCATTGTGGGCGTGTTCTCTTACTGTGGGCGTGTTCTCTCACTGTGGGTGTGTTCTCTCACTGTGGGCGTGTTCTCCTTCTCTTCAGCCCTTCTCCCATTCTTTGATTGTTTTCCTTGACCCCACTTCCACTTCCACCTCCCCCACTTCTCCTCCCCCCCTCATCTACTGTCCTCAATATTAACGTAGTTATTTTAGAGTAAATATTAGGGGGATCTTCAAATAAATTCTGAAATCTCGAGTCTAACAATTTTCCATTGGGCTGTATACTCAGAGTGCAGGGAACAGTGAGAGTTGGTATAAGTGGCCCCTGTGTGTAAATACAACATTTCTTCATAATAGAATGTCTTTCTTCCTCTGCTTTGACTCTACAGGGAAAGAATGAAGTCTCTGGCCACCAAGTACCCACAGCCTTTGCCATTGCTGCTGCTGCTGCTGCTGCTGCCACTGAAGCTTCAAGCGGACTATTGGGATGACACTGAATATGAACTAGAGCCAGAATTTCGTGACTACTTAAGGGAACTTCATGCTACAGGGCCTACCAAACAACCTACCAAAGAAAGAATCAAAGAAAAGATCATTGCTGTTTACGATCGACCTTTACATGATGACGATTACTGTGATAGTGAAATGAAGACTAAAAGTATTCACCACAGGCTGCTCTGTTATAAAGAGCACTACTTTATAAAGGCGGCCTATACAGAGCTAAAAAGTGTCTGCCACGGCAAACGAGTGAAATGTAAGGATGGGATTCAATTTTGCAGAAGAAGCACAGACTTAATGAGTGGAGTTCGATGTACTTTAGTAAGTGGCGAGAGGATGCCATTCTGCTCATACGAAAGTAAGGTCATGCAAGGTTATGTGGTTGTCACTTGTCAATGGGACAGTGACTCCAAACAGTTTATTCCTAACAACGTACTTGAGATATTGCCACCCAAGTAGCAGGAAAGCACCAGAACTGGGTCTTCCCCTGACATTTTAGTTTTCTCTAAGCTGTTAACATTTGGGAGTAACTTACCCTTTAGATACTGATGCTGTTAATCAAAAGTGAGAAGGGCACTTTCAGCCCATTCACTTTGATCATCCATTTCCCTCCTTTCCTGTCCCCAAAGCATTGGATGGTAGCATGAGCTATGCTCACACGACTCTAACAGGTGTTGATGGAGATTTTCTGATTCAGTTGGTCCCACAGCCTTTGAGCCCCAAATAAACACACAGATGCTATATTAATTATAAAAATGTTGGCTAGTGTCTTGGGCTTCTTATTGGCTAGCTCTGTCTTAATTATTAACCCATTTCTATTAATCTATATATTTCCACGTGTTCTTGGCTTATTAGAGAATGACTTGCTCGTCCTCTATTCCCAGGCTCTACATGAAGACTCTGTCCTCCTATGTTTCCCAGAATCCTCTTCCTCTCCTAGTCCTGCCTATCTCCCTGCCTCTTTGGCCACAGTGTTTTATTCATCAACCAATAAGAGAAACATATATACAGAAGGGCAACTACCATCAAACAGGTGTTTTCCTAAAGGTCACAGAATGTACATGACAATAAATGTCTGTAGCAAACAGATGGTCAGCATGAAGAGAAGCAGGGGGCAGCGTGTGGGAGGTCAGGCTTGTACTTTCAGTACTTTGGAGACTAAGGCAGAAGTTCATAAGTTCAAGGCCAGTCTGTGTTACCAACCAAGATCCTGGCATAAACAAACAAACAAACAAACAAACAAACAAAAGATAGTTTGGAATAGCTGCCTGAAGGATCATCAAAGTTTTCATGTGATTTTTCTGATTCAGCAACAAAAATAAAGTGTTTCAATCTAGCAACTGGCTATGAGGTGCCTATGGGGATTTCCAGGGCTGGCTAGTGATTTTACATGAACAACTTACACTCTTTTCGGACTTTTATGCAGTATGTCTTTCCAATGTTATGTTTGTATATATTTCACTTTTCATGTTCTTTATATTCAACACAATTCATGGTACCATGAAAGAGGAAAACCTGGCCAGGAGTATCTCAAGATAGAAGCCTTTAAGTACTAGGAAAGCTAACTAACTCCCCAGTGCACTTTCCGATTGTCGTGTATATGTGGGAGCTCAGACATCAGTCTTTGAAAAAGTAGGCACAATTCCTCATACTCTGGGATATTCACAATTCCCTACAGCTCTTTCCTTACATTTCTAGGAGATGTGGCTCTATCTGAGTATACCCTACCTCAGAAAAAGGCTGGAGATATTGAGACAAAGGAAATGTCTATCATCTTAAGCAATGATTTTCTCCTTTTTTTTTGTTCTTTTCAAACTTTTTATGTCTTTCAAACATCACTATTAACTAAAACTTTCTAAAATTCTATTAGAATAGTAATGTGGGGCAATATGGGTGTCCTGGCCCACTTTACCCCTAGGCTCCCTCCTCAGCTCTTTATCACTATTTTCAGAGTCAAATCTGAACTTCTAATTTACCCATTAGTTGATATAAACTAAGGCCTGCATCTGCAAGTCTTTTTTCATTATCCAAAGGGGGTGGGGCATGAGGAAGCCATACTTCCAAAAGCCTTCAATGGGAGGCCTTTGGTTATGATGTTGAATGAGTGAAGGTCCTGATGAGTGCTTTTGTACCTCCTTGACACCCGTACACTACAACACAGCCCTGTCAGTGAGCTGTGAAATTATACACATGGCTGGCCTGGTATATGCTATGAACCATCTCATCTGGGCCATGATCACATCATGACCATTGAATTTTACAATGTACACACAAACATGTTTATAGGAGTATAGCATAGCACAACTGAGGTATAAAAAGAGTCATGTAACGTCCACTCCAGAGTTGCTAATCTTATCCAAATACCTACTAAAAATATATTGGGCAGGCATGGTGGTTCATATCTTTAATCTTAGCCCTCAGGAAGCAAAGGCAGGAAGATCTCAGTAAGTTAGAGGCCAGCCTGACCTACATAGAGAGCTCCAGGATAGTCACAACTACATAGAAAGCCTTGCCTCAAAAAAGAAAAGAGAAATACAATCATGGTTGTGTGGACTTTCCTTCTTGTCTTATACAGCACAAGGAATTCAGAAATTGGCCTCTACTTACTGGGTGACCTATAAAAGCCTGCTGTGTTTCAAATGTGTCCCACAGTTGCTGCCAATGTGATAATGTTAGAAGGTTGGGGCTTGCAAAGTTATTATGCAACAAAGGATTGCTTCTTGTGGATAGAATTCGGGCTACTATAAAAGAAGTTTCATGTAGGGTTCAGTTAGCTTCTTTTCATGCTCCCCACCCCTTGAAGATAAAGTCCTCTCTAGATGCTGGAGACTAGACATAAGACTTCCCAACTCTTAGAATTGTGAAAACATGTTTCTGGCCCTTATAAATTCTTAATTTTTAAAAAAAAACCTAATTTTTTTTCACTTTGAAAATTACCGTGTGTGTGTGTGTGTGTGTGTGTGTGTGTGTGTGTGTGTGTGTGTGTACAAACAGAGCATGCATGTGGAGGTCAAAGGAAAACTTGTGAGAGTTGATTTTCTACATCCAACACATGGGTCCTGGAGATTAAATTCAGTCATGATGGCAATCACCTTAATTTGTTGAGCCACCCCACTGGTGCAGCCTGTGTTATTATGTTATGGTAACACAAAACCAATGAAGTCAAACCTGCATTACAATTTTCAGTTTTACTGAGTAAGACGTCATAAGCATCATGCCCCTACTTCCATTAGTAACACCTCTCCAAATGTTGAATTTCACTAGTTTTTATTTTTGACAACTTTTTATATGCATACAATGTATTTGGATCATATTTATCCCCATAGCTATCTTTTATGTGTTAGTTAGTTTCCTGTTGCTATGAGGAGACACCATGACCAAGGCAATTCATAGAAGAAAGAATTTGCTGGGTCTTACAGTTTCAGAGGATAAGTCCATGACCATCATCACCATTGGGAGCATGGCAGCAGGCAGGCAAGTATGGCACTAACTGAGAGCCAGCATCTCACCAACAAGAAGGGGAGAGAGAGAGAGAGAGAGAGA